TTTTCTTTAAGAAAATCAGCTTTAGACAGGGTGTTCTTCTGGTACTTTTTGGTTTTTGAATCGACAGGTGCGATGCCTTTTTTGTATAAAGGGGATCTAGAGCGCTTTAGCGATCGGGGATCCATCTCCATTTCGTCTGAGTCCTCCACTTTCTTGGTAAGCTCGCATTGAGATACGCTACCTTCCTCTACTGAATCTGCAGCTACCATAGGTTGCTGTGGCGTATCGGAGCCATACTTCTTTGAAATTTTAGGGGAGTCACGAATGTGAAGGGCTTCCGTAGCCTGATGTGGCGTAGCAGAGTCATACTCCTTTGCAAACTCCGAGGAGTCACTAATGTTACGTGGTGCACTGTGGTTGTTTTCCGCTGTACCTAACATTTGAGCCATCTGGTTCGATAGAATCTGGGCCAAGGACTCACAAATATTCCCAGCGATGCGCTCCATTGCCTTCTCCACTGCCTTCTCAATCGCTTCCGCAATAGGGACAGAGAGAGCTTCCATTGTTGTCATATTACGAGCTGTAACACCGGCGTAGCCTTGTGTTCGTGCTTGTATTTCAAGTGCTGCTTCCTTCCGTGAACACCGTCTTCGTTCTACTATCTCTAGAATTTGCAGTTCACGTACCTTTGCCGAACAACTAGAGCTATCGGCCGCATGAGCTTCGCTACATAGGCAACACTTTTCTTTATCACTCAGACAGTCGCTAGAATTGTGACCTTCCCCGCATACCTTACACCTGACTGCTGACCTACAACCTTTCATTGTGTGACCATAACGCCAGCACTTTATGCATTGGAGCGGACGAGGAGAGAGCGGCTCTACTCTGTAAAGTAAAGGCCAAGCCTTAATTTCTGATGGTCGGACTGATCCCGCAAAGGTCACAATTACAGACTCAGTTGGTATTTTGTTGTTATCAACCACCCGTCCACACCGATAGACTGAAATAGCACCTGCTGGCGAAAACAGCTCCAGTACTTCGGAGGGTGGCATGTTGGCATCGACGCCACGCACTAGACCTCGGGTACATGCTAAATGAGAAGGTATGAACGCGCTCACCGGCTGGGATGCAAACGTTGAGCACTTTAGCAGATCTAGGACACAGGACTGGTCTGGCGAAAAGCACAGTATGCCTCCTCTGCCAAACTGGCGGACCTCCGTTATGGACTGGTATTGGGCCGTCACTGACCGTAATTCCGCCTGAATGATCTTCGGGTTTTTATCCGAATGATGCCGTCATTGTTCGGGACTAGAGCCACTGGAACCGATGATATTCTGTTGTTCAAAAAAAGATCCACTGGCACCTCCTTTTGATCCGTAGAAGCAAACCAAAGAAAAGTCCCTGGCCCTGGCGAAGATAAGGGCATCTTGTCTTGTCTGAACTGCACAAAAAACACTGATCAAACAACTATTGCAGTATAAGAAACGATGGTAGATCAATTAACCAACAACAGCTACTTAATTCTTGGCCACACCCCGAGAGCAAGCTTCAACGGCTAGAGCCGACCACCACCGATCAACGCACTGTGCCGAATCCCTGCTTGCTGCAGGCACATCTTCTTCACAGGCCCTTTATGTACTTTTTTTTCTTTTTTTTTCTCCGAACATGCGGCAAATGATTCCGTTTTATCGTAGAGCGTGGCGCCATCCCGCGGCGGCCACGGTAACTATGCATCTCATGAGGCAAGGCATCATCATCAACTACACCTGTATACATGATAAATACAAATGTATATATGTCTAACGCAGGCAGGTGATATTGTTCTTGCATTATATTTTTAGAGGACATGTTAACATTTCTTCACACTGAACATGTATATATTACAGTTACGTCACTGAATAAATCGAGGAAGCGAACTTACATGATTGGTTTATTATTTAACTGATATTTTCGTCATAAGTATGATCGATTCAGTTAAATTAGACACACCTTATTTCCGTGTCAGAATGAAATATGAAAGTGGAGACCTTGTGCTTTTTACGAGAATGCAAACAACTTCTAGACCTACGTCCCGAAATTCTATGGTTATGGATATTAGTGCGCTACTAAAATAATGGCGTGCCCGAAACGTGAAGTGCTGATGTTAATTACTCACCGAGAAAAGAAACTTATCCTCCTCGCAGCCTAACTCGTAACTGCTGTTTCATTCTGTGGCTAACTCCGCTGTCATACCGTTTAAACAACCCTCCTCCTCCCCTTTCTCCTCCTCCTCATTCTGTGGACACCCTAGCGCAGTGTATTGCGTCATTAGAAAAACTTAGCTGAGCGTCTGCAACAGCTCTGCTTTCTAGCCTGCCATTGGAAATGGCTGGAATGATGTGGACGCCGAACTGAATCTATTATATATAAATATGCGCACGCATGCAGTCTTTACTGCGTCAACATATAAACTAGTTCATAATAAATTTAGCTGAAACCTTTGCATTTAGTTGGTCTTCTCTGTTGTCCGTGTTTTTTTTTTTCGGTACGCAGTCGTACTGAGGTTAATAATTGAACCGTCAATAATAATGAACTTATGTTCTATAATGTATGTGCATATTTCTTGTCAAAATGCATTTGACATAGATTAGTAAGTATGGCTAATTACTTTTACAAAAGCCCGAGTGGAAGCGCGGAATGAATATGAAAATGTCAATCTTATTGCAAGCCACCCGTCTGTAGCACAAAACGAATGAAAAAAGACTAAATATTCGCAAAGTACATTTTTTTCTTAGAAATTCGTGCGGATTATCTTTGTCGCTACGGTTTTTCTTTTTCATTCAAGCTTCATAAATTGAACAGTAACACCAATAGGTTAAGTAATTGAACTTTAGTAAGTATGCTTAACATTATCACACTGCTGTTCGTAGTGTAGTTAACTAATCCAGTTGGTCAAAATGCAAAATGCATTATCTGCCTCGAAAGATGTTATTGCAAGAGCAATTGTATGAGAAATCCAGTTGAACTTTTGCTGTCGCCCTGACGCTACGTGCATGAAGTTTCAAGGGCAAAAACGTATCGTCCCACGCACCGAGTGTTTGGAGTGCGAGGGTTCAATCATGTCCTGTGTAAAGCGCGGGATATGGTCAGTACATTAGACCTTCGTTTAGTTTCCCGGTTATAACTGGAACCTTATCTGGGACATAACTAAGAGTGAAGTCTATGATCGCGGCTCAAGCGGAGAGAAAACGTGCTGTCAGTGGCCACAGGAAGGGGGGGGGGGGGGGGCTGCGTAGCTCTGGCACGATTTGTATGCGAACTCTATGCGACGTTGGAGTGTATGGTTCATACCTTTGTACGTGCAAGATCAGTGCTCTCACTGTTTAAGTTACGTCGAATCGATTTACAGCCCTATCTTAACAGGAATAAACAGATTACTGATCATTTAGTGCAGTGTTTATTGTCTGCACCATCAGTTTGTGTTGAATTCCGCCGGAAAGCCTGATCGTGACAGTGATCAGCAGATGGCTCATACATTTGTACACGCGATGTTCCTACCGCGCGTACTGCGTTGAAGCGATGCACGGCCCGGCCTTGACAGGGATCAGCAGATGGCTCATACTTAGGTACGTGTAGTCTTCAGTGTTCTCACCCCCTCAGTTTGCCTTGAACCGATGGACAGCCCGATCTTGACGGTGATCAGCAGACGGCCCATACATTTGTACGTGCGGTGTTCTTACCGCTAGGATTGCGTTGAAGTGATGGACAGCACAATCAGTAGGGAGTTTTAGTGCTGGGTACGCATTCGCTTGGGGCCTTGCGGGCTTGGGAGCGTGCGGCTTTGCGTGCCCAACGCATACCCAACCGGAATTCCTTTTAGTTGGCGCCACGGTGGCACGCACGCAAACGCAAGCCGCACGAAGGTCACACGTGCTCGCAGCGCCATGGCGTCTTGTCGCGTAAATATTATTTAATTATTTTTATGATTGAAAATGTAAAATTAAACATGCATAGTGATCAGGACACTTTTTTATCGTGTACAGTACCCTGGTATGACCAAAAAAGTGAAAAATACAAGCTTACTATAACGACAGTGTCGACATCTTGTTACACTTCGTGCAACCACAGCCATGAACTTGTTAGCTTACGCGTAATGTTTTTGAGATGAAAACAAATAAAAACGTTACTCAGTTGTAATATTGTCGCTGTGCAGTTTTTGCATCAGATGTACAATGCACAATGTTTCTGCAATAACAATGTCGTGGTTGTCTGTTTCAATATAGCCGCGCCAGATGGCGCCACCTATTCAGCTGGTCGGGGCTGGCATATATTTAGTTTTTATGTTCCAGGCCATTCTAGCTTTGGTAATCTAGTTGAAACCATGCAATCGCTATAAGTGCTCGCACTTTGGCTTATTTTAACTCGACGGCTAGAGTATCCGCAGTGCGAATACTGTGAGTTCTTGCGAAGGTGGACCTTACAAGGTGGCCGATCCCTGCCGTCCGAGATTTCGCGCCTTTGTGTCATGCTATTTGTATAGTGGCTAGCCACTATAATATTTGCGCTTAAAACTTAAATGTCAAAGTGATGGCTCTGGCCAGCCTCGGCTTTGCTCGCCGTGAAGGTAACATGATGCGCCAGCATGTGCGCCGGGGCAGCTTATCTCCGCTAGGAGGCCAGTGGCGGCAGCGTTGTTTATGGGCGCACAGACGCATCGCCCCATCGATCTTGCGACGCATCTGTTTGGGGCTTCGCGCATGCGCAATACCGCCGCCCCATCGTCCTGCGCACGCAAGCCGCCTGCGTACCCAGCACTAAAACTCCCTAGTAACATAGCTCGCTCTCTCACCCACGCTTCCTTATACGCCAGCGTTTTGTTGAGTTACGCCAGGTCAGATGATGGAAGAGTTAGCTGCTTGTCATAATTCGTAGAACATTCCACATCGTTGCTATTGCACTTGCTGCTTCGTCCTTATGGCAAAATTGTCATTTTCTTCATAACTTAATTTATTTCCGCTGAAAGAAAGACTCAATTACAGATCAGTGTTTACAGCGAGCACCAACTTGTATGTTTCTGACAGTCCTGCAGGTAAAGAAGATTGACTTCGATTATCGGCCAGTGGACTTGAAGCCGAACGGAGAGCAGGTGTGTTTATCATTATTTTTTTCAAATTTCGCCAACGATCGATGTACTGCAAGCACGATGGTTGTTGGCGCAGTCGTGAGGCTGAAAAACAATACAAAAAAAATATTTGCTCGACTCGGGTTGGACGAAGCTGGCTTTCAAATGCCACCAACACAGGCCGAGTTCTTTCCCCATTTTTCTTCTTCCTTCTTTCATTCTTTTATCTTTCTTTACCTTTATACAGCGCCCTTTCTCATTTTCCTACTCCTAGAACTCAGATCACTCCTTCTCACATTCACGTATCTTTTCAATTCCTTGCTACGCAATGCTGTTCATGGCTATGCTATGGTTTACCCTCTCGCTTCCTCATTTCCTTAATCCTCGTCACCGTAACATCCGTCCTGCTCACGCTCTCTTCCCCTCCCACGCCTTTGCTAAAGCTATATAATACAAGGATGCGCCATGCTTTACCTTCTACCTTCCTACCTATCTTTCTCCTCGTGCACCTTCACATCAACCGCCCTTTCTTGTGCTGTCCTTTTGCTATACTATACATGCACGCCTACGTTATGTTCGGAGCTACTTGGCACATGCCCACTGTCTGTACATCTCAATCTATATATGCATAGCTTTACGTTATTCCCTCCTCCTTTACGTTCTCCTCGCTTTAACACCACTCCTCGTCACCCTCACTTCCCTTGCTCACTCCCTTGCTGTACTACACCATGCACGGCTATGTTCTTTTAGGACCTGCTTGACACATGCTCTGTGTCTATAGTTTACAAACTATACTATCATGTTTTATCACCCTCCACCAGCAGTGCACAAGGTAGCCAGCCGGTCTAAGAACTGGCTAACCTTCCTGTCCTTCCTCCTTCCTTTACCATCCCCCTTCCCCATTCCCCTCATCCCCACTTAAATTCCCTTTACCGCCTCCTTGTTATACTACACAATGCATGGCTACGCTATGCTATAGGAGCTGGTTGGCACATATATCCCGCTTTCCGTGGAGCATACCTGCCGAGCTTGCTGTCTACGACGCCGTCCTCGCTCCGAGCCTGAACAGCACCGCTGTTAAGAACGTCACGACAAGCTTAGAAAGTATATCTGCGTGGGCCGTAAAATAAGCCAGCGTGTGACGTGCAGTTGAGTTGTTCCGAACGCTTTATTATATTTAGAAACTGCCTGGGCTGTCAGCGTCTAAAGTTTATTGAACTTTGAATTTCTGTGCACTTTCTGTTCAAACCGTACACTCCACGTTGTTAGCGCGTTTTAGAACGTGCCGAGAATCTAAATTCATAGCCTGCCGAAACATGCAGCGGGAACATTCGGCTCCTCTCTTGTGTCTCGCGATTCATAAAACGTTGACTGTCTATGCGTTGCCGCAAGAATGACTGCGTGTTTCTCTCACTTTCAGCAAACTGCGAAATTCAAGACGTTCAATCCAATGGGGCAGGTTCCCGTATTGCTTGTCGACGGAAAGCCGATCAGCCAATCGGTAACGCTCACTCACTGTTCCTAACAATAATGTTCTTCGTCAAGGTGTCGATGTTTCCGTGTGCGTTGATGGCGTAGCGCCGGTCACGGGGCCTCGCGGTACGGCGAAAGCGTCGACCACATGTACACGTTACAACGCGTCAGCGTGCGGCGCGCTCTAAAAAGGACCGACCACTCGTACCGCTTGCACCGCGCATTTTGACGCGGTGTCGTCTCCTCTTCCAATGCAGAGCCCCGCCGCGGTGGTCATGTGGCTAAGGTACTCTACTGCTGACCCACAGGTCGCGGGATCGAATCCCGGTTGTGGCGGCTGCATTTCCGATGGAGGCGGAAATGTTGTAGGCCCGTGTGCTCAGATTTGGGTGCACGGTAAAGAACCCCAGGTGGTCGAAATTTCCGGAGCCCTCCACTACGGCGTCTCTCATAATCATATGGTGGTTTTGGGACGTTAAACCCCACGCTTCTATCAATCAATCAATCTTCCAATGCAGAGAGCAGGCATTGCTCTACTCAAAGCTGTGCGCCCTCTCTCACCACAGGAAAAGGCATGGCATCGCGTCAGAAAAAAAAAAAAAAACGCGTTGCACGGGGTACGTGTGGTCAGGCGCCTGACCACATACGCGCGACAGTGTCAGCGTGAGGCATTTTAACGTGGCGCCGCTGCGCCCTCTTCCTACGGAGAGAAAGAGAAAGTGCATGGCTACGCGAAGCTGCGCGCCCTCTTTTTCTTTAGGCAGAGGGCGCAACGCCTCACGGAAAAGCGTACGTGTGGTCAGGCCTTTTTGCACGACTAGGGAGAGGGCCGCGCACACCGGGAGAGGACAGGACGGGTGCTGACGCGATGTAGCGCGCACATGTGGTTAGGCTGCGCCAAGACGGGTGCCAGGGCAACACCACCTTGGCCAGGATGAGTTTCAGTGGAAAGGGTGAATAAGAGGCGCGCCAAGAGGGGCAGTGTCGCAGACAGCGAACCAGTGAAAAGCACGGGTGAGCCCGTCGAAGGAGGACATCGATCTTTTGTGCAGTGTAGTCGCGCTTTCTTCGCCCAACTTTGAATGTTTCGTGCGCGAATGTTTGAAGGCATGGTTTTACTGTTTTACTGAACAACTGTTGTAAATTCGACTGCTGTTTAGAGTTTCTTTCAATAGATCTTAGACTATCCTTAGGCACACCAACATACGTATCCTCCTTGATAAGCCGACCCACTCAGCGTCACTGCTCTTTTTCTCTAACACCGATTTTCGCAAGGACTGACATTTCGGTACTCTTTTTTCTCTCCACAAACAATACCTGACTGGCTTAAACTAACTGGAATGTTTCCCCAGCACCGTTATTTCATTATTTCTTCCATATAGTAGGGTTCTATCACTTGATCAGTTTTTTAAAAGTAATCTACCTTATAACCGAAGAGATTCCATCAAAAACGTGTGACAAGGTTGTTTGTAACACGTTAGCTCCGGAGAAGCTTCGGAGTCGGCCGGACAGTCACTCCCTGAAGAAGAGACCGAATCCAAGCATAGGGCTGGTTTTTAATATTAAAAACTAAAAACTGGATGTGACTGGAGAGTCTGTTTATTTCGTTATTTCTTGCATATAGCAGGGTTCTATCAGTTGATCCGTTTTTTTTTTCTCATCGTAATCTACCTTATAACCAAAGAAATTCCGTCAAAAACGTGTTACAAGGTCGTTTGTAACGCGGTAGCTCTGGAGTAGCTTCGGAGCCGGCCGGACAGTCACTCCCTGAAGAAGAGACCGAATCCAAGCAAAGGGCTGGTTTTTAATATTAAAAACTAAAAAGTGGATGTGACAGGAGAGTCTGTTTATTTATAAACTTGTTTCATGCTGCTCTTTTTTGTTAATAATCATGCATATCTTTTTCAACCAGGCTTGTTGTTTAGGGTATAGTCATGAATATATAAAGTATAACCCTTAGGATATGAGCAATGAGAATAAAAATACTGAAAAGGAAATCTCACTGTATAATTGCTTAACTGTCATCCAGTTTTTAAAAGTAATTACTGTTATAATACAACTAACTAACCACATTGAATGCATCGAAGCATGCAGTCTGCTCAGAAAGTTTTTATTCGAGTGGTTTTCAACGATGACTAAGTCAGGGGAAGTCAGACCTCTCCCCTACCCAGAAAGTTTGGCATTTTATGTGGCATTTTGCTGATCCTGAAGGAAGGCGTTCAGGATCAGCAAACGGTGTAAAGAAAGCAGCACACAAGACGGCAAATACTGCTGCCATTTATGTTCTGTGGGACACTCCGGACTGAATTTTCACGTTACAGGCGAATCAGTGTGAATGTCTGTTCTTTGACTGGATTCTTCATTTGATATTTTAAGGCCGCTGTTGAATATACGTTTTTTACTCATTTATTTATATTCAAATATTAGAAGCCCTCCTCAGGCTCATGCAGGAGTGTATGCAAACAGTACAGAAGACAATAAACAACAATACTTTGGAAAGCTTCAAGTACGGTAACTGAAAGAATGCACATATAATGAGTAAACAACTATATCACTATTCAGTATATATATAATATTTCTGTTGTTCAACAGAATTGCATTCAAATCAAAATACTTTGTCACCTAAATCAAGATGTTTTCAATATAAGTCTCTTATATCAAGACGACCTACTTTCAATATGTTTCATAAGCAAGCCAGGAAGGTAATGTTCACTGCTTCTGCAGATAATGCATTTCAATGAAAAATTGCACAAGGAAAGAGAGCCAACTGGATGGCTGCCTAAGAGTTTTATTAGGATGAATCCTGGCTGATAGTTTTAAAGGTTACTGAAGGTAATGTGTCTGTGATAATTTAAGGTCCTCATAATAAAGTTGGTAGATTAATTTTATACTAGATACTATCCTACGCTGCTCAAGTTTTTGTAGGCTTGCCTTATTACATAAATTCTCTTAGAATGTCGGAGGTAAGCAGAGTATTTGGTGAACAAAGCTAAATATTAGACTCTCTCAACTTTTCAATCAAATATTACTACCAAGGGCTCCAAATACGGTAATGTTGACATACTCCAATTTTGGTCACACTAGTGCTTTATATGCTTTCAGCTTGACCATGAGAAATGTATTACGCAGTTTCCTCTTCAAAAAGGACATGTTATTTAGGGAACCCCTACACGCATTTTCAAGTTTCAATTCACAGCTTATGTCACTTCTGAGTGTGATGCTGATATGTCTAACACGACCAGCATCATGTCTTAGAAAGTATGTAAAGTGAAGCGGCATCTTTATATTGGTAAATGTGTGAAGAAGAAGATGTGCCTGCAGCGAGCAGCATCGCCAACGCCTGGCTCTCTCGGCTCGTGCTTCGGTTCGTTGCTGTGCCGATCGCTGGACGGTTCTTGACGCTGTATCGTCGCTGTCTATAACGGCTAATAAACCTCCTCACATTTGGTGGAAGGTGCTGTTAATCCCCGTTGCTACACCCTGGAGCTGCGAAGCCGCACGCTACCACCTGTCATGACTGCCAACGCCACTACATCGACGCCTTCGCTCCAGTTCAACTGCCCTGGCCATCCTAAACTACGGGAGCCGAAGGTCTTCAGCGGTGCGGATGGGACTGACGTCGAAGACTGGCTCGAGCACTATGAACTGGTGAGCGCCAACAATAAGTGGGATGAAACCGACAAGCTGGGCCACGTGATATTTTATCTCACTGGCGTCGCCGAATTGTGGTTTAATAACCACAAACACAACATCCCCACATGGAGCGTCTTCAAGACGTCATGTGCTGAAGTGCTCGGTCGGCCGGCTGTCCGCAAGCAGAGGGCAGAACAGCGCTTGCGCGTCCGCTCTCAGCAGACTGGCGAGACCTTTACCAGTTATATTGAGGACGTCGTCGACCTTTGTCGACGTGTGAATGACACCATGCCCGAATCTGACAAGGTCAAAAACATACTGAAGGGCATCGACGACGGCGCATTTCAAATGCTTTTGGCAAGGAATCCAAGCACAGTTTCTGAAGTCGTCAGCTTGTGTCAGAGCTACGACGAGTTGAAAAAGCAACGCACTCTGACTAGGCAGCCTCAGCCTGGTGGTGAGTCGCTGTCCAGCTTCGACTCCATGCCCGACAATTCACCATTGCTTCAGCAAGTCCGAGTCTTCGTCCGTGAGGAAGTCGCCCGCCCACTTTCCCTAGTGCCCTTTACTCACGAGACCACCACCCGTCTACCTGCCCCACTTCGCACGGCTATATCGGAAGAGGTTGCACAAGCTGTTCCTCGTGCGCACTACGAGCCACCTCTATCAAGCCGTGGTCACTGCCCGGGTGTCGCACAGCCGGTAGGCGCTCTTGTCGCCTATCCGCCAGCCGTTCAGCCTGTGGCCGCACCCCTAACCTATGCAACGCAGCCTGTGGCTCCGCCTGTCGCCTTTTCGCAAGAGATGCAGCCCGTAGCCGCGCCGCTCACATATGCAGACGCTGTACGTAGGCTCCCGCAACCAGCCTACACCACGCGCTCACAGCCCGCACACCCGGCTGCTTATACGGCACATTGGGCGGCAGCACCAGTCGCCAATCCCTGGAGGACGCCCGATAACCGACCGATTTGCTACGCTTGCTTCACTCCCGGACACGTTGCTCGCTACTGCCGCCGTCGACCTCAGACGTTCGGCAACTATGCCCGGTCGTCGCATCCCGGCAGCCAACACTTCGTCCAATACGGGCCTGTCTCGCCACCTCGCTATGCGCCTACTGACCACCTAGACTTTCAGCCGCAACGCGCACCCTCTCCTCGTCGGCGATCGCCCTCCCCCATGCGTCGCCGGCCCGGACCCTCCGACCAGGAAAACTAAGCAACGCAGTTCAAGAGGCAAGAACTGCGCCGTTTTCGAACTGTCTAAGCCCTCGCTCCTCTCCTGCTAACGTGGTCGCAGTAACTGTTGAAGGTTATTGTACTTTCGCCCTTGTGGACACTGGCGCCGCTGTTTCTGTTATTGCCGCTAATCTCTGCCGTTTATTACGCAAAGTAACGA